ATGTGTACAATTCCCAGCCTCAGTGGTATGAGTTATACAGTTCTCTTTCTGACTTACTTTTTTATAAATGTGGTTCATCTGGTCACAACTGTTGTACTTAAGTGAGTGTTGTTAGTGTTTTTGCTTTCAAGAAGATGCACACTGTTATTGCCTATTTTATTTTGGAAGTGACCTATGTGATATTCTCTATGTTTCTCAAATAAATCACCTTTAAAAACGCAAATGTTGTTTAAAGAATATTTTAGTATTCTTTTTTGAGAATTATATTTTCAGGATTTTGACCTTCCAGGAGTTTAGACTTTGGGGGTTTGGTTTTTTTCTATATTTCAGCACTTGGGTTGACAGTGCTCAGGATCGTATCTTTCAGGATTATGGCTCAGTCCCTCGGGACGGGTGGGGATATAATTAACTTAGAGAACACATGTCTGCACTGTACATCTTGTTACATGGTGCGTGCAGAACTTTGTGATTTAAGATCTAATAAAGTGAAAGATAAAAGAAGGGGAAAGTCCCTTTGACATTGAGTCATGAAAGTGCTTCGCACTGTCTTTCAGCACCACTTTTCTGAGAAAGCTTCCTGACCAGAATAATAAGGTTTGCTTGAGAAACAGAAATAGAGAAGAGGACAAGGTCACCACTAAAATGGAAAACCAAGTAACATGTGGTTTGAAAACTCTGAATCACCAGCATCCCTGCTCAGGTTGAGTGGAATGAATAATTCCCCAAATCAGATGAAGTCAGATTTCTTTGTGATGCCCAAAAGTACTTTCTTTTCTCCAGTGTCCATCCCTTCTGCCTCCTCCCTCTCTCTTACCTTTCTGTCCTCCCCTTACCCCTGCATCTGATTTACTTCTTGTCTACGTAAATACCAGCCACTTCCTATGGAACTGTGGTGTTAAGTTCAGAAGTTTGGAATCCCCGCACCTCCAGACCTTAGACAATTGGTTAGCTTACTCTGTTCTGGTGGTATGTGGCCCAGAGAGCTCTTTCCAGGGTCTACACAACAGTATTTGGAAAGTGATTTAAATTGCCCTGGTATATGTCAACTTGGCAAGCACCTGTGGATGTTTGGTAACAACCAAACCCCAAGTAGAAACTAAAATTAGACAAAACGCATTTATCTGGCGATGGAAATCAGTGTTTAAACATTTGCCACACAAGGTGGATAGTTCTGTGGTCATGCCAAGTGCCAAAGGGTCCTTGCTCAGAAGAAAATAGTCTGTCTGGAGGGACTTGTCACTGTGGTGATTGTGCTAAGTCTCCAAGCATGGGAGGAGCTCCCAGGAAGCTGGGAAAGGGGGTTGGTAGGGGGATCTGCCCAGGAAACACATGCTGTAAGCTTGCACTGGTTCTATGTTAAAGGCACAGACAGGAGCCCCCAGGCTAACTGGAGTCTGGCAGGAAAACTGAATTGGGCAAGGCTTCTTGAGCAAGCTGGACTGGACTCTGATGTTTGTGTGGGCTCCAACATGGGTTTGTCCCACAAAGCGTGAACCCCGGGCCTGCAGCATTGGCATTCCTGGGGTTTGTTAGGATGGCAGACTCCACCCTGTCTTAGTTACTTTCCCATCACTGGGACAAAATACCCAGCAACTCCAAGTCTTATGGAGGAGAGGTTTATTTTGGCTCACAGTTTTTAGAGGATTCTATCCAAGCAGAAATGGAGTGGTAGAAGGGCCTAGCAGAGGACAGTTGCTCATTCCATGGCAACCAGGAAGCAGAGAGAGAAGGGAGGAGCTGAGTACAAGAATGCATCCTTCCAGGTCACAACTCAGTGACCATCTCTGACTAGGACCCCCCTCCTAACAGCACATTCAGCTACACAGTTAATTCCTCAGTGGATGAATGGACTGATGAGTATAGGGACCCCATGATCCAACCACCTTCCATGCATACAGAAAGACTTGGAGACATTTAGATATAAACCACAGCAACTCCAAACCCACTTTTTCAGGATATACATCTTACCAACCTTGGGAGGTCTATGTGCACTGTGATGTTGGAGAATAACAGTATCGAGCACACGGATTTGAACAGACCAGTGGTATAAATATGTGTAGGAACAACACTCTAGCTATGTTGCTGAGGACAGACTTCAGGGAGCAGCAATGGGGTTGGGAAAACTGCAGAAGATGCCAATTTCATGCTGCTACCTAGGGGACCACTGCCACAGCTGGGCAGGAGGGGTACTCACCACCAGTGTCACAGTCTTTTGCCTCCGTGAACCTTGGCCATAAACCAGAGCTTTAACTTTGAATTTTAAAAAGTTTCTATCTGCCTTCTAGTTTCTTAAGTATCTATTTCTTTGAAATTTATAATGATTCAATGAAACTGCATTCATAAAGCACCTAATTCATAAAGTACTAGTCATGTAATAAGTACTCAACAAATGGAAGCTCTTTACTGTTATATTAGAATCAACAAGGATTTGATTTTCTTCAAGTGGTTCCAAATGACAAGTCCTTTGAATCCACTCTTTAAACGGTTCTTGGTAATGAATGTGATAATTAAGAACACTCACATCCAAGATCTGCTCCTCCTTGGTATAACCCTACTTCTGTCAGTCTCCTTCAGTCAATTCAGTTCGATTCCATTCTGTTCTATTCAGTTCAGTACAAACACTGTTTGATTGGAAAGCACTTCACAAAGTGGCCTTAATTGATTAAGTTTTCACCATTATACACACAGTTCAGCCCTTACCATCCCCCTTTGATATAACAGTAAACAGAGACTGAGAAAAAGTTATTCACCAAACATCACACCAGTAGTACCATTTGGAATGTATGAGAGTTTGGGGTTCAAATCAGGATTTTTTTTGGTGGTGGTGGCACTACTGAGAATTAAACCCAGGGCCTTCACACTGAGCTCCATTCCATTTATTTCTATTTATTTATTGATTTAAATTTTCACATAGGGTCTTTCTAAAGTTGTCCAAGCTGGACTTAAACTTCAATTCTTCTGCTCAGCCTCCCAGAGTACTAGGGTTATAGGTGTACATCACCTTGCCTGGCAAAAGGCTAACGGTCACCCCTTCCCCCTGATTCCTGCTATACTGCACTAACAAGTTATTTTTATTTCTGATCTGTTTTCCTGCCTTATAGTATAGCTGCAAGATAGGCCCAATGATAGGGTGATTGTGAGTTCGCAACAGCTGTCAGTTTGTTTCATTGTATTCACTGCATCTAGAATAGTACTTGACACTTAAGAGTGTTGAATACATGTTTGTTGAATCAATTTGAAATTGCCTTGTGAATATGCCCTGCATATTTGGGGCTTGGTCACATAATCTGAGAATAATCTTCTCTTATTCATATTAGTTTCCTGCTTTGGCTAATTCTTGGATGGAGTTTGGTTTTGAGTAGGAATTAGTATTTGTAGAGCTTATAACATTAGGCAATTCCTTCAGAATGAGAGAGCAATCATATTCACGGTGATAGTGCTTTTTAAAGTCCGTACACTTCCAGATAAGTTTGAGATAAGGTTACAATCACTTTTGCCATTGAAGGGGATCGGAATATTCCACTTTATCATTTGGATTATTTTGAGCTAGAGGTCTTTGAGAATCAACAGATGAGAAAGCACTTTCCTGGAGCTTCATTTATCCAAGAGCAGAAATTCATGGCAAATGAGGACTACCATCAACTCACTCTTCTCGGGCAGATTTAGGGACTTGAAGGAGATGGAATGCTCGCCCCAAGAAGGGCCTGCTCCAACAAATTTTACCCATTAACCCTTATCTTCCATTCCTTCCTGATGTAACTACCTTCCTACAATTTATTCCTAGAAGGTCACAACTCCTTTCCTGGCTTAGTCGTTTCTGTACAAATGAGTTACCCTTTGTTAAAATAGTATACACATATAAAGCTCTGGTGCTGCTGTCTCTTTGGAATTTTCATTTCGTATCTGTGCACCTCCCCATATGCACACAGAATAGCCATTTTCTCCTTTTAGCCGTCTTCCCAATTCAGTGTGCAGGGCCTGATCACTGAATCTAAGAAGATGGAGGAAAATGTTTTATTTTTTCTTTTCTGTCCATCATTGCAATCATCAGAGCCCTAAAACCCAAGCCCAGTGAATTACAATCACAAAAGATAAAGAGCATATATAAAAATGGTTTTGTTGCATCATACTTTATTTTATAACCTCATTTTATTTTGTATTATTTTTGGAGATGGAGGAAGGGAACACAGGATGCGGGGGGAAGCTGGTAAAAGGGGATGGAAAATGATGGAGAAATTCCCCAAACAAAAGTAATTGTGTATCACAAACCTATACCAATAGAACATTTTCAAAAATCAATTTTGATATGTCCTGATGTCCTGTTGTTCTGATTTTTGATTTAAATCTTTTTCTCTTACTTTGATAATAGAGATTCTTTTATTCATCTTTTTTTCTTTAAGTCCCCAAACCAGGCAGATCTGGGGGTGATAGTGAATAATCTCCTTATACCTTTTCTTCTTTCCTCCAGTCTGTGTACAAAAGATCAGAGATGGAGATCCCTGCTTGATAACTCTATGCTGCATGCTTCTAACTGCTGCCATTGAAAGCTTTGTGATGCTTCTATGGGAGGAAAATTTCTGTCTGGAATTCCACAGAGCAGTCAACCAAAGCCACAGGCCACCCCAGTCCAGAGACCACCATGTTGCTTCAGGAAGTTTTCCTCCTTTGGGCTTCCTGCCTGGCAGCGTCACAGCCTGATAAAGTGGAAGGGGCTGAATGACTGGAGATGCAGACCTTGTTGAGGGCCCCATAACACAAAGACCTCCTCTTGGTCTTGCATCCATTGTTCTCTTGACCTCTCTGCTCATAGCCCTGGGGACAGCACTATGAGAGGAAAATGCCACTGAACAGTGCTAAATATGAGTAAGAAGGAAACGAAAAACCAGCCTGCCAGTGGGCAGGTGGGTGGAGCAGTGTCAGCTGGGCCCTTTACTTCTGTAAGGCATCCTTCACCTCTCAGCCTGAATCATGAACCTTTTCATAATTTCTTTCTCAAATAGAGAAGTCGGAGGTTTGAATATTGCATTAGAAATGGTGGAGTTGCTTTCCTGTAAGCATCTCCTGGCAGAAAGTCTGATTTCATGGAACCTTAAGGATTTAAGCTATCCCATCTTTAAGCTTATCTTCCATTTTCTGGTACAGACTCAGTCTGGGGAAGTGACAGATCTCACCCAAATCACCTGGGCCAGGAGCTGCAAACAAGACGGCTAGGGGATCTAGGCAGGAGTCAGGCCACCGAGTCGCCTGGACAACCGAGTTTCACACACCTATAAATTATGTTTTTAGGAACTTTATGAGGAGAGTAATGAAAATAATTCCTAAAATATACTGCAGGATTTTGTGAAATATGTAGTGGCCCTGAGGGAGTACCCAGTGGCTGTGAAGGAGTACCCAGGAGCTGTGAAGGAGTACCCAGGAGAGGCACGTTGGAGGGACCCTCCCCAACCCGAGACTCAGACGTCACTAAAGAGTAGTTACACGGAGGAACTCCTGGGTCCCTGGGCCCTCGAGTTTGAAGGGACAGGAATGCCAGGTGCTGAGAACACGCAGGGATGCGGCCTGCAGAGGGCCTGCAGAACTCACGCAGGAGCCCGCTGTCCCCCTGGAGCCACATCAGGGACGGGGCGCCCTGGGCCCTGGACGTCTGCACAACTCCCCAGGAAGTGTCTCCGGGGTGGCGGGACTGAAGGCTGCCAGGACGCTGTGGGACACCCGGGATTCCATTTCAGTGTGCTGGGAAGAGCTCCCCGGGGTGCCCTGTGCACCAGCCCGGGAACTGGAAGAAAGCTTCCTTCCCCGCAGTGTTCCTCCGGCGCCCCCTACAGACTCTAAACCGAACCTCCCGCTTGGCAGTGGGTGGCCCAGGCCTGGCCAGGCAGCTGAGTCTGAAAATTGACTACAGTATTTCTTGCAAGCACCAGGTGCATTGAGATGCAATTCCTCTACCTTTCAGGCATGCAACCTTTACTACGTTTTCAGCCTCTCCTTAAGAACCATTGCTTTTCTCCTTTATGCATCAAGAGACAACAATTACAGTAGATTTTTAGTACCTAGTGGTGAACAAAAAGGGACTGTAGGATTTAGCACTTTCTCCTAGTTTTAGTACATTCTCTGATCGGAGTACTTAGGACCATCCACTTGGGGCCAGTTCTACAAAGCCAAAGACATTCCAGAGATAATTATATGGGGAATTCAGCCAAAGCACAAGGGAGGATTTAGAGGGAGAAAATCCATTGCTGTCCAATAGCATAATACTAGCCACGTGTGGCTTTTGAGCCATTGATATATAGTGTGACCCAGACACTGAATTTTTACCTTAACTTGAATTCATTTAATTCCAAAATTTGAAAATATTTAGTTCAGTTACTGGAAAAGTTTTAGGTAAATTTGGAACAACTGAGGGGATTGTGTGGGAGGTTCTACGAGCCAGGCTTGGAGGGGGCTGGGATACTTCACTCTGCCTCCATTCAATAGCTGTATCAGGAAGGCAAAACTTTCTCTGCACTCTTTTATGTTTAATGTTTGGGAGCCTGAAAATTAAGCTGACAAAGGACAGATTAGCAAGTGGAAAGATAGATTTTTATTCACATACATACATGAGAGTTCATAGGGAAATGTAATTCAAGGAGTCAGAATTTCAGGATTCTATACCATCTCAGTAGGAGAAGAGGCAGAGAAGAAAGGTACTTACAGGAAGATACATGAGTTCTTAATGGGACTGGAGGGAGAAAGGGCACTTATGAGAAAACAGATTACTTTTGGGAATGATAAATGGCCCCTTAAGAGCATGGATGGGCCATATGATAGTTCTGTGACTATACCTGTTTAGGTGATTTCTTATACTGGTGCAGACTTCTCTCTAGTGATAGGAGTCTATCTTTCCTGGTTACTGAACTTGAAGGGGAAGGGTTTATGCCAGTTAAATTATTTTTAGGTGTTCTGTTTTTACACAGATAAGAGGAATTCAGAAAAAGAGTTTTCTGCATCTGCTGATTCTCAGATGCCTTCAGCTCAAAATTAATTTTATGTCATGGTGGCAGTATTTTGAGCCTCTTCAGCTAGAACTCATCACTTGGTCCCAAGAGAGACTATGCCCTCAAGGAAAAGAGAAATAATTTCATGTGCAACTAGGCAGGACCTGTCTCCTGAGGCTTAGGCAGGATTGAACCCACTTGGGCACTGGATGAGAGCCCTGAGTAGTTCAAGCCAATAGTTTATGGGGTCTTTGTGCACATCACGATGAGTTCAGAATAGATGTGTGATCTTGGCTGATTCAGTCAGTGAATCTTTAGACCTTTGCAGAGCATGTCAGGAAACAGACTCAGTCCCATGAAGTAGTGCTAGGTTTAGAAATGCTGTATGTACATGTAGAGCCTGAGCTGCTGGGAGTTGTAGTCAGGAGCCTCATGGTGGGGTTCCTTCAGAAGAGATAGAGTCAAGCTATCAGTCCTGGTGAATCCGTTTGAGATTTAGGTCCAGATCAGTTTGAGAACAGGGTATAATTATGTGATCCAATACATTCCCTTTTAACCTAGGCCAGTTTGAATATTCTGTTGATTGCAATCAATAGAAGTCTACTCCCTATGGTGCAGCATCATAAATGAATTCTTTGGTTTTTAAATCAAGACCTAGCCTGGCCTGGTGGCACACACTCGTAATCTCAGCGTTCAGGAGGCTGAGGCAGGAGGATTGCTGCAAGTTCAAGACCAGCCTGAGCTGCAAAGTGAGTTCAAGACCAGCCTGAATTGCACAGTGAGACCTATTCAAACTATCTCATGAAAACCGAGGTGGATGTATATAGATTTATGGAATAAAAGTAGAACACAGCAGGGAACAACTCCAGAAGCCACTTGGTCTCTCCACCCTCTCAATGTTCCTGTGGTCTCATTCATTCTTATGTCTCTGTTTCCCTGTGAGCATCTGTTCTGTGAGCCATAGTTTTGATTTGCACCCAGCCATTATATTAAGGTAACCATATGTCCACTGTGATAGGACAGGCTTACTTTATACAGCTTGTTCTAGCATCCTTTCTGGCCTAGTATTTGTCCCTGATTTTCATTTTTAATGAGATGATGTTATTAAGAATAGAATTAAAACGAGCCAGGACAGCTTGGGGAAACTTTCTCCAAAGCTTTGCTTTTATAGCTTTTACCATGGTTGTGTCTAGTAAAATGTGAGATGCAAGGACAGTGGACTGGATATCATTTTAACCTGTGGTTAAATTTGAGAGAAGCCCATCATATAGTATTTAGTCCAACTATAGCAGAATACACATTTTTTTCAATAGCTCATTGAGCATATTGCAAAATAGACCATATCTTAGGTCATAAATCTTGCTTAAATAGATACAAAATAATTGAAATCATCACCTGCATACTCTTGGATCATAGTGGAATGGAGCTAGAAATCAACAGCAAAAGAAGCCACAGAAACTACATATACAGAGTTTAAATAACATGTTATTGAACAATCAGTGGATCACAGAAGAAATCTGGGAATAAATTAAAAAGTTCCTAGAATCAAATGACAATGGAAGCATAACATAATAGAACTTATGGGACAGACTGAAAGAAGTTCTAGGAGGTTATAGCTGCAAATGCACACATAAAAAGAACAGAGTGATCTGAAATAAATAACCTCATGCTGCATCTGAAGGAAATAACTGTCAAAAATGAACTGCCAAGTCTATCACATAGTGAGAGTTGATATTTGAAAGCAGAAGTCTCAGTAACTAGCATTTCAGAAGGACAAGAACAATCCAAATCTGAAACTAATGGAAGGAAAGAAATTATAAGAATCAGAGCAGAAATTAATGAAATTGAGACAAAAAAGTGCAAAGAATCAATGAATCAAAGAGATGGTTCTTTGAAAAGATGGGAAAGGGGATGTGGGAATGAAGAGGATGAGAGGTAGGAGAGGGGAAGAGGAAGGGGAAATAAAAAGGATTAGGATGTGATATGTATATGAACCAGTTTATCCACAGTGCATGCATTTACTATGTGTCACAACATTATACTAATAAAAATATAAAAGAAGCCCACCACAATCTGTCTCTCATTTTCACAATCACTCTTAATGCAAAATAACATGCTCCCCTCAAGGATGTAAACAGACTGCAGCCCGCATTTAGCTCGGGATGGCTTTAGTGAGCACCTTGGCCTGGTTTTCCATGGGGGACTGAGTTCAGTGCTCGTTCTGCTGGCCACTTGCTCTACCAACAAGTGCTGTGGCCTGAGCCTTGGAGATACAGTTACCACAAGGTCATTGAGAAATTTAGAGAATTACAGCTGAGGTACACAGACTGAGTAGAGAAAATAGAAGGCCAGGAGAACTGGCATGGAGCCTATGAAAAACATTTGGGAGAGTCTTGTTCAGGTAGTGTTATAATTTTTTTATCTTTCAGTTTTTGTTAGTACATATTTGCATTGTATAATGATTACATTCCTGGTGGGGAATTGGTCCCTTTACTAACAGATCTCAATTCTTTTCTAAATTGCCCTTTCCTCCCCTCCCTCTCCCTCCTTATTATCTATTTTTTATTTGGCGCTTTGTTTATATTTTGGATTTCTCATATAGGGGAAACACAATTTTTAAACTGTGTGTCTGATTTATTTCATTCAACATTCTAATATCTTATATGGTATGAAATCTATATGTCTTCATCTTGATTTTAGTAACACTTTCATATTTCTTACTAATTCTAGTAATATGATTTTATAATCATTTGTGTCTAGATGTTCCCCTAAAACCTCATGCAGTCACAGGGGGTGGGCTTTTCAGAACTGGCTGAATCTAGAGTTTGTGATCAATTCATGGTACAGTTCTGGGGTTAAGGATGTGAGTGCTACACCCACCTACAGTGCTACATCCTAGATTGGGGAGACTGGCTACCATATAAGGGACAGGTAGAGACCTGTCTCTCTTCCTCTTGTTGCTTTTGCTGTCTTCCACCACTATGAAGAGTTGCCCATCTGCCCTGTGCCACCCTGTCTTGGAGCCAGCAGGTTATGGACTGAAACCTCTACAACTGTAAGCTAAACAAAATTTCCTCCTTTTAACTTTGGGTGTTGGGTATTTTGTCTCAGCAATGAGAGAAAATTAACTAAGACAGAATTCAAGATTCAATTCAGAATTTTTTTTTTCAGTGTCTCCTTTCACTCTCTGAAGTATTTCAGTTTGGGTGATAAATTTTATAGTCACTCATTGTAAGATTGTTTTTAGATCAGTCTTTCAGTTTCAGCCATCTCTTTTTAACTCATTCATTATCATTGTTTCTCTCCTCTCCCTTTCTTCCTCCCTCCCTTTTTATTCCTGATTGGTCTAGTTTATGGCAATGCTAGATCATTTGCTATTGATTAGCCAATGAGTTTGCAGATTTGGAGCCAGTGCTCCCATTTGGTCCAATTAGCTGTGATGACATTGTGTAGGGTGGGGTGTGGGGTTGTCATGTGATGGAACAACCATTTCTACACAGGGCAGGCAGCTCTGCTTGAAAGTGCTGCAGGCATGTCAGTAATTACAAATTCTCCTTTAAGACACTTGGAAATAACTGTCAAAATGAACTGCCAATTCTATCAGAGTGAAAAGTTGATACCTAAAAGCAGAAGTCTTGGTAACCAGAATCACTTGCCACAATATAAGCCCCAAGAGTGGATTTTCTTCCGGATTCTGTCATCAGTGTCTATAAAAGTGGTAGCTCTGTATAATAGGCATTCATTAAATATATATTAAATAAGTGAGTGAATAATAGACTGATGACAAATGTTGTGTTCAGAAACAAGAAAGTATTTTCTCCATCAAGGAGTTGGAAGCAGCTTTTCATCCTGTGTTAT